GACTGGTTACTGACTACTGAAGTTATTCAGTAGTATATTACATTGGTTCATGACATTTCTCTGTCAGAGAGTATACCCTGTGATACTAGTTGGTTAAATGCTAATGGAAACCTTTGTGACATTGTAATTGAGCAGTTGGAAAACAACTCAATTGTGAGACGTATCAACACGAACTGCAAATCATTTGAAAACTGTTCACCCAATAGATTTTAAATTCCACCCCTTGACGGTTACTCACATCCTTGGTAAATGGAAAACGCCTCAAGATAACAGAAGGTGTATTACAATATCGAAATATATGCAAAATACGGTGACCTTGACTATCTCTAGGTCTTTCTACAATATCGTGTCCCATTGGTTGCTTGTCCCTTCAACCGATCTGATATTTACACATTAGATTACGGGGTCTTTCTTGAAATCTTGAAGCCAGACGATTGATTGGGAAATGCTTCAGGGATTTACAGCTTCTTATGAGGATCTAGGAAATCTTATAGTATACTATAACACTATTTAAGATACATATATAGTTGAATTGGCTAGTTCAGTTATACGACTGGTCACTTTATCTTTAGTTAGATAACTAGAGTGACTGTTCAACGTGACTGAAAAAGGTTCAGTCACATAGAACTAAGTGAGTTTGTTGCTGGGCTAAACATCACCACATCCCCAAATATCCTGATATCTAACGGTAAGCTATCGCATCTATACAACGCAAATACATCATGAAACAGACAGAATCAAAGTAGAAACTGACTGCAAATAGGAATTAGTTCAAATGATTATACTTCATAGAATAAAATTAAAGGGGTATTAGTGGACAGAAAGTAATCAGATGAATGCTGTAGCTCAGTTGTTAGAGCAACGGAGCCGGTAACTTGGAGGCCATTGTTTCACATCCTATTAAGAGTAAAGTATTCATTTCACCCTTATTTATCACTCATTATAAAGAGATGACGCTTGATGGAAATACTCAAGTTTTCAAAGAATTTTTATACATTTACTCACTTGTAGCCGATTTTACAGAGAGCATTTAATAACTGATCTCTATCGTCTTAAGGATTTCAGCCAGGTAGCTTATATGTAATTAGATGACTTATACCAGGGGTATTATGAGAATCCCCTTAAATTGATATAAAATCACTGTACTTGTGACTCATTGGTTTTTCTTAAAGATACTTATCAAAAAAGGTTAGGAGATGTATTTCTTTTCATTTAGGTTTTGTAACCTAGGCTTATTTACGCAAGAAGGGACTAGAGTCATAGATCAACTCCCTTGAATTTAGCTATTTTATCGTCTCATACCCTCTCACGCGTTTTAAAAATCATTACAGCCTATCGCTTTACAAGTTGATAGTCAAATTAAGAAGCAGCACCACGATGGACGGAAACAGGCTCTCAAGCTTATGACCATGGATTAAATGACTATTCCGGAAATACTTAGCACAAACTGCAGGTCGTTACCGAAAAAAGTCAATTACCTACCTTCAGTCACTTTTGTCCGTAAATGTTCATCAAAACATGGGTGTAATAATACTGCAGGAAACATGACTTAATGACGTATATGATGATGATTTAGTCTGCTTAAATGGTTCAAATTATTTCGACAAGATCGAAGCATTTCCAAAAAGAAATATGGCCGCGGGGGGAGGGGTGTAGCAACATTTATCAGTGCAAAATGGTCCTCCTTCAACTATGTACGCTTCCGCTTCTCTAACGAAAAAATTGAGTGCATTACCATTCAATGTCATCCTAAACATATGAGTAAACTAAAACATATGTTGAATTTTGAGGGAGTTGTAGGGATTTGGAAATATTTCAAGTTGTTATTCATCGTAGGCTGACATCAGTTGGAGGAACAGCACTGGACAGCTGTTTCGTCCAAGTACGGGACTCCTCCAAATCCCCACAGCTCCCTCAAAATTCATTTGAACTGGTGCTCATTGGTGACTAGCTTCGAGAAGTATTCCCGAAGTTCCAATGACAAGTCGTGACCGGTGGAGGCAAAGTCTGATGGTCGTGGGGACAGTTACTCAACGATGACATTGGGTGGCGGTTGCATTATATCGTGAGCTAACAGAAGTTGGAAATATGGACAGTTGGGTTTTGATCCAGTGGCACAATGGTAACGTGCTGGCAGCGGAACCTGAAGGTCTCGGGTTCGATCCCTGGCGGGGTCGTGGGTGCGCACTACTGAGGAGTCCCGTGCTAGGACGAAACAGCTGTCCAGTGTTCCAAGGTTTCTCTTGTTCCTGCGACTGATGTTAGTCTACGATGAATAACAACTTAGAAGACATATATACATAACAAAAACTTATGTCATACCTGACTGTAGTTTCTCAGATTTGTCAACTTTTGCTGATGAATTCATTGAAGTAGCTACTCCGATTCTGAGTAACTCCTTGTCTATAGTCCATGGAGATTTTAATTCATGTGACTCAAGTTTTCTAGTATCATTGGGTCTTGACAAAACCCTAGACTTAATATTTACAAATGAACCTGGCATATATGAAGCCCATAAACGGGCTCTACTGCTATATTCTGACCACTGTATTATAGGTGTTTTGCCTAAAGTGTACGGCAAATTAAACAAAAAGGCTTTCGGATACCTTTCCAAGAAAGTCCAGTACAGATGCTGTTCACAGGAGAATATGTTACGTTTGAGAAGCACGTTTATAGAAACAGAGTGGGATATATTTGCTGATGAAGTTTTAGACAACACTATCACCAATATCACAAGCTATCTCAGATTTTGTTGCGATATTCTCTGCCCCGTGAAACAATCTACATGAGGTTTGACAGATTCTACTCTCCTCATCTCAGGAGGCTGTGGAGAGAAAAGCAGAGTTTATATAAGACGAGAGATCACCCTGGCGTAGAAAGATTTAACTACCTAATTAAATCTGAAATACAATGTTTAAATGCTATGTACAACCAGAAGTCTCTATTGTGTAGGAACTCTTCTGATATATAGAAATTATTTAAAGAGCTTACTGTAAGAAAGCAGATGACAAAAGAAACTTGTTCGAATGTCTGCACGTTAAACATGTCATCCATACGTCGACAAGCTGGTTTCATCCTTCCTGATGTCCATAGTGAAATGGACAGCTGCTTTCCTGGTTTTAATACACATGATGTATTTAAATGTCCAGAATTCTTGAATCCATCTCAAAGCTTAGGTCCTGATGATGTTTCTAGTATTATATTTAGAAAATGTGCAGATATTTTATGTCATCCCCTTATAGATATCTTCAATGCATCCTTTTCTAAGAACACAATACCCACTGTTTGGAAGGAGATCAAAGTTATGCCTGTGGGTGTTATCTTCTGGATCAGATGTTACCTTTCGACCCCTCGCTATAACTCCCCTTTTTGAAGGCCATGGAGAAGTTACTTCTCCTTATGATTGAGCCTTCATTGATAGTTTTCAGAGATCCTAAATAATTTGCTTACAAACACAGGAGAAGTACTTTAGATGCTGTCATGGTCCTGCATCATAATGTTGTTTCTAATCTCGAAAAATGTGTTAAGTACGTTCATTGTGCCTTCTTGGATTACTCATCGGCCTTTGACTCTGTTCCTAAACCACTGTTGTGAAATAAGTTTGCCATAGTTCACAGTGAGCCATGGGTTACGAAGTGGCCGTATTCTTATTTTTGTGAAAAGGATCAATATACAGTGTATGAAGGGAGGTACTCCACTTCATCCTTTACTGAAGCTGGTATGCCTCAAGGTGGCGTACTTTCTGCTCTTCTGTTTTCGTTCGTTTCTCACGACTTACCTTATTCTGTTGGAACTAATTTTGTTGAGTATGCTGATGACCTGATGGTGTCTATTCCAGTTAACTCTCACTTAGATTGCTCTAAATTAAATGAATTCTTGTCTGTAGTTGCCCAATGGTCTCTCTCAAATCGTCTCAGAGTGTTAATTTTAGCCTCAGTTGTAGACAAGACTTGTGTGAGCTGGTCAAGTCCCATGACACTTGTTGCATCAATGGTATTTCTGCAGAAAGTAAATCGAGTGTTAACTATCATGAGTTGAGATTTACATCTGATCTTCGTTGGTCGTCTCATATCTTATTGACTCGTAAAAATTCTTTCGTTTAACTTATTACATAAAGAAACTGAGACTCCCTGGTATAACTCAAAGTCTTCTTTTACAATTTATTAATTCCTGCATTTTACCTATTCTTATATATTGTTCCCGGTTGATCTTTCCTGGTCTTCTAAAAAATGTACTTTCATATTGCGTAGGCCATCGAAAGTCGTCAGTAGGGTAAATGCGGTGCCTCCGGCTCAACTGACTACCACACTGTAGTTAATAGACAGTTAAATTCTAGTAAGCAACTAGCTACAGTCATTTTAACTGATACAGAGCATTCACTTTATTCACAGCTCTTTCCTTGTGTTTCCTCAGGGAGGACGAGAAGAAACTTTATAAGACTGTACGCTAGTACAGCTAATTACAAGAATTCAACTGTACCATATCTAGCACGCATATTATGTGAGGAAAAGCGTGTTAGAACAGAACTTACTTATCAACTTTGTGAAGATGTTGTCACAACATATTATTGCTGAGAATTCTAAATTGTACCAAATATTGTTTGGAATAAAGTGAATTATTATTATTGTTATCATTGTTAACTACTGATTAACTATTATTTGTACTACAATACTGTACTATATGTTGTGAGCTCGTTTAGTCGAATTACTATTTCTTGTAAATCACCTAACCAGATTCGTATGGTCTGAAGAATTCGGCTGTGTGCAATGAATTCGTCTGATTATACTCCAGTGATAAGATTGACTCCAGACAAGTGAAACAGCTATCTAGTGTTTACATTACTCTTCTCTGACTAGCTGCTTGGTGAAATCTACAAATCAGTCACAGTGGTTCCTAACTACTCAACTTTTTCAGTAGTAGTATATTTCCCTAGTTAAATGTTATTTCCTTTTCTAATTTTCATCATATTTTCTTCTGTTTATATTTCTGTTTTCTTTTAGTTCGTTTCAATAAACAAATCATCATAAATCATAATGTTATCAAAATCAAAAATAGAGGCACACAATTTAAAACATCCGCCTTTTCAACCATCTTCATCTTCTTTAGTTAAACAAAGTAAAAAGATGATTAAACGTTCAGTGACATTTGAACATGGCACAAATTCAAATGTATGGTTTACATCTAGTTCTTCTTCACCTTCTTATTCTTCTTCTCTTCCATTTACTTCTACATCACAATGTTATACAAATCGATGCAATAAACAAACATTTACATTTTCTTATCTTTTACGAAATAATCCACCTTTACTACCCGGTGATATTTTAAATTATTTTAATTTTACAAAATCGCCATCTACAACAATGTCTCCTGTCATTTCAAGGTCAAGTATCAATTCAAATTTTACAGGAAAGGTAAGCGTTTCAGTTACTTTTAACTGTTCAATCTTTATTATAAATGTAATAAGTTGTATTGTATGAAATTGATAAGAAAGGCTTATTTTTGCTTGTCTGAGAAATGGGTTATTTTCTTCAGTTGTTACATTATCGCTTGGTTTTAATTTTAAGGTGTTTTTTCCTCATCCATTCAATGAAACTTATGAGTAATTCAGTGTACCTAGTTGGATGGTGAGTAGGTTTAGGTTTCCATAGTGAATTTAAAGTAAACGGAATAAGTAGAGAAAAAAAACCTATGGGAGTACGGAAAAGGAAGGTGGACAGATATTTTGATACATTGTGTAATTAGAGTGATTCAAAGGGAGAGTCTAAGGTAACCAAGAGACTCATGTCGAAGTTATGTCATATTAAGTTCCCTGTTTTCAGGGATTGATGTATATGTATATAAACTTCCACTTCCTTGTATTAAGATTGAATGTTAAAGGATTCTGTGAATTAGTCATTCAAACTTAATGTCTACGTTACTTTTACTTAAAAGATTCATTTTAGAGGTTTACAGGGATTTTATCGATTTCAGGTAGGTATTTGTCACCGATTGATATCAACTGGAGAACCACAGAGGATCCAGGAGCATTGAATAAATGTTTCTTCCTAGCATGGGGCTCCCCAGCAGTGAAGACTGTTGACCCCGGGGGATCGAGCCAAGAACCTTGGGGTTTCGCTATCAGGACGTTACCATTTGACCATTGGGTCGAAATGCAGTGGTTCGGTGGGGTCATCCAAGTCGGAGTTGAGGACACATTTTCAACGACGAATGGGATGAAGGGTGAACTAAGTCATTAACCGAAATAAGTAGGAAAATGTGGACCATTGAACTCAGGGGCAACGTGCTGGTTGTGAGGCCTCAATATCCTGGGTTGCGTCCTTGGGTTGTTCAAGAGTGTGTCCCTCTGGGGAGCCCTATACTAGGAACTGATGTTAGTCAGTGATGGATACCAACCCGCAAACTTAAAAGATCGATGCGAATTAAGGTAACTGGTAGTTAGAGGTATAAAAAGTTTGCTTGGATGATTTCTTTCGATACGACTGGTCATCTTCAAACGTTTCATCATCTGTATGTAATAAAGACTCAATAACATGTAAATTTCCACAGAAAAACAGAGAAATCACCGTAAAACCTTACACTGAGTTGTACTGATTTAACCTGACGCTTAGGGAGACAAGAGTCAATCGAATGAAGGGAATAAAATAAAGACTGTTGATGAAGGTGTTCTAAATTTCTAAGATGACGAAGAGTGTATACATTTGAAAGACTGACCGATTTTAAGCGATATCACAGGGGATCTCCAACCATTCGTTCTTGATATCTGGACAATCACAGTCAGAGAGGCTAAACAGCTCAGACTGATAGTTACAGACTTTATGAAGGGTTGCCAAGGCTTACCACTACTCCTTATAGTTTTATTTATTTAGCTCAGTCCCACTTTAGGTAACACAGTATATCAAGGTAGGCAGGGGCTTTGAACGTCCTACATCTATCAAAATCGACTCAACTGGTGAAGATTGACGGTGTCAATAAGACACATACAGTGTGGCGGACGCGAAACTACCTGACTGTCAAAACCTTTATGATTGGATTAGGGGGTTTGAACTCCTAACTCTATGTTTAAACACCAAGTGTCTGATTCAATGAACCGTAGCTTCACTAGCTACAGAATACCCCCACTTAACAATTGAATACTACCTAGCTGTCAGAAACCGAATTCATAACTGTTATCCTGAAGACGATCCTAATGAAAAGTACTTGATTTTTTCAGATTGTATATCTTCTTCCGCTTTTTGTGACAATCTTTCAGAATGTTTGGGTACAGCCTTGAGACTAGTGAAAACCATTGACCTATAATCTTGGGTTTATTGGCTGAGTTCTGTAATCACTTCGGCTGATTTCTAAAAGTAGACACTAACTGTTATGGAATACGACAGTATCCTCTAGATTCCTCAAAGAAGCCTAGAAATCCATGAAAAGCCTTCACAGCCAAGCATGACATGTCGAACGTTCGCCAAAACCAAGTGATCATATGTATGGGACTTGGATCGGTTAAAGGTCTCTCTAGAAACGTGTAGAACTTCCGAAGCCATCAGTAAATGCATATATGCCGTTAATTTCAACTGGACAATAAATCTTGATCATTTTTTGTTGCTTCTTTTCTGTTTTCAAGGAACGGAGCGACCATCAAGGGTGAAGCTTACGGTTACCGTTCAAGTGCCCGCTCATATATATATATATATATATATATATACATATATATATATATATATATATATATATATATATATATATATATATATCAGTAACCCATAGAGATTAAGGTGAAAACTAGTTTTCACGAAATACTTTAACATCCTTCTAACAGACAGACAAACTTCTTGATTTTCTGGTTTAAGAAATCACTTAGTGAAACTAAAAAAGTATGATAGTAAATGATAATTAGTAAAAACCGGTTTATGCTCGGTTAATGTTTACCTAGATGGACTGAAACCAAACCAATAAGTTTCGTGAGAATCCAAAGAATCTGCACTGGCCAAAAGGATCTGTACAAGAGGCGGATATTCTGTGTGGTTCAATGGCCTTGTAGATAATGCTTTGGCATTTAAAGCGATAGGCAGAAGGTTCAAGTGTGAATGGGAACAAAATTACTCACTGAGGGTGTAGGTACATCTAGTTGACTAGTCCTGAATGGGATGGAACGCTCTTCCTTGGTTCCAATGTTATCTGCATCCAAGTCAATTATAACAACATTTTTCGGATATGATATTTCTCACAAATCAGCTGGTTTTCAATTGTCTTAGCTGTCAACTTGGCAGTGCTTCATCAAGTCAATACAATCGAGTTTAGCTAGTTTGAACAGTTTGGCTAAGTGAAGAGAACTTATTCGAGTACATTGTTGATGAGTTTTGATTCGAAAGAGATGGATAATTTCCTCTAATTTGGAAACTTTTGGGAGGTACTTTGATCCTTCTAAGTCAACTTCATCTCTGAACGTGTTTAATGTTTTATTTTTAGATAAATTTAGCTACAGTTCAGTTTATTTCATGCATTTAGTATTGAAGTTTGAATAGCTTTCCACTTATCAACGTTGAGACAACGGAATCACATCAACAGTCTTTACACAATAGAGGTAGCTTGGATCGATAATATTGATGTGAATATCGAGATGCATCCAATCAAGATTAATCATCTCTAGGATGATAATACTCATAGATAGTATGATTCTAGAAGGCTTCATTCACATCTAAAACAAATCACCTATAGTCTTTCTGATTACTGTACTGCTCATATCTTCAACTAATTTTTATTTATCAATATAAAAGTAATTTCCTTCATGAACTAACATTAGTTGAAGGCTGATCGAAAACGTGGGAGTGTTGGACAATTGCCTGGTGCCAATTCGCTACTCGTCAACACTGCTTACCAAAGACTCAGTGAAGGATCGAGACCACAACCTCCAACTATTGTGACCCGCACGTCGCTATTCAACTGTTGGGCCGGCGTTCAATGGTTTATATTGTGATAGTTCTGTCAAGTCACGAAATAACTCAACTGTCATAAAATATCATAAATGAGTATCCGACCCCACTGGTAATGACTTCCATCCTAAAGCAAGTTGCTGATGACGGTTCTTGACGATTTATTGATTTCAAAGCAGCTTTCCATCAGGAATGGGTAAATCTCCACAGACTGTCACTTGAATTACTCACTTGAGTAACTACAGTAATTCTTCAGATCAGTCGTGTTTTCTAAAGACTAACAAGCTTAGTAGAGGTAACATTATTCATGTTGGTGACCAGCAGTGGAACCCAGGATGCGTGTTTCGTCCTGTTTGTGACCCATCAGCTAAGTATACCTGTACCTCACTAAGTGGTTTCGGTCCCATTGAGACAAGAACCCAGTACCCATCATTTTAAACCCCAAAGTTTTATCTGGCAGTATCGAGATATCCGCATAGAAACCCATCTACCAACAGAGGTAGAGCAATTTGACCCTGTTTATCATTGGGAAATTACAAGTATCAAACGGCAAAAGTGTTTGTTTTTCCAAAAAATATCACCTCATGCACTTATTCTAAGCTAGAAGAGGAAAACTTAATACAGAAAATCATGATGACGCGAATTAATATCCTGCTGTGATGGCTAGGAACAACAAATGAAATAAAGCGATCAATTGAGGCTTAGTTGATGAATTTGTGAAAACACGGAACTCTGTACACCCCCCAAACTTTTGCATATACAGAGATTTTTGCTATTGTAGATACTTTTTCATCTTATCTGTCTGAGATTTTCTTATTTTAAAGAAAAGAAAATCTTGTCGATAACAGTTTTAATGTTTACATTTTGTAAACATGAAGATGATCATGTGGTGACACTGCTGGAAGTTAGACAGAGATTTTTCTAAGAATTACTGATAACAATGTTAGTTACGTCAAAAAGCTGAGTATATTATGTATACAGTTGATAAGTGTTCATTTATGTAGGATACAATATAAAATACGATAGTAATTGATAGGGTTTACGAGGAACATCCGCAGTCAAGCGGAAACTAATGCTTTCTCAAGGATTCAAACCTTCCTCATTCAGTGTTGATGTCAAACAAACTGAGAGTAGGTTATTAGGCCTTCACTGTACCTTTGAAGACTGTAATATATATACAGATCAATAAGCATTGGGTGGCTGATGTAACTATTTGGTTCTTAGTGCTCAGCATTGGTCGAATTTGCAAGAAGTATCACTCCTAGTCTTAGTTGCTTGTTGGTAAAGTCTGTAACTTCACTACGGAGTGACGTAGTTTCAGGCCACAGAATGGATGTGAGCTTTGTCTTGACTGGAATATACGCTGTACTGACGAGTGCCATAAGCATAAAATCCACGTCGAGTAGGTCTTCTTGCCGGTTGACTTCTATTAGCTAACACTAAAATTTATTGAGTCACCTGGGGCTAAGTGATCATGCTGAAAACTTGAT